GCAGAGCCCAGCGGGAGGTTCCCCTCGGCCATTCCCGGTTTTCCTGCTCCCGCTCTCCCGCAGGTGACCCACCTGGTGATCCAGAGGCCGAGATCCTTCCGCTTCCAGCCGGGGGATTACGTCTACCTGAACGTGCCGGCCATCGCCGCCTACGAGTGGCACCCCTTCTCCATCAGCAGCGCCCCGGAGCAGCCAGGTTCCTGCCTTCCCTGCCAACTGCCCTGGAACTTTCCCTCAACATCCCCGGGATCTGGGACCCATCCCTGGGATCTGGTTCCCACCCTTGGGATCTGTGACCCATCCCTGGGATCTGGTTCCCACCCTTGGGATCTGTGTCCCATCCCTGCAATGTTTCTCACCCTTGGGATCTGTTTCCCATCCCTGAGATCTGTTTTCCATCCCCAGGATCTCTTTTCCATCCACAGGATCAGTTTTCCTACCTGGGATCTGTTTCCCATCCCTGGAATATTTTCTTATCCTTGGGATCTGTTTTCCTACTTGGGATCTGTATTCTCACCCTTGGAATCTGTTTCCCACCCTTAGGATCTGTTTTCCCACCCTTAGGATCCATGTCCCAACCCTGGATCTGTTTTCCATCCTTGGAATGCTTCCCACCCTTGGGATCTCTTTCCCACCCTTGGGATCCGTTTCCCACCCTTGGGATCTCTTTCCCACCCTTGGGATCCATTTCCCACCCTTGGGATCCGTTTCCCACCCCTGGATCTCTTTTCCATGCCCACGGTGATGTTTTTCCAGCCCGGACGGGGCTTGGAGCGAGCCGGGCTATGGAAGGCGGTTCCACGGGATGAGTTGGGTTGGAAGCTCTTCCCAATCCAGAGAATTCCAGGATTTTTGGGGTTGATCCCACAGAAACCCTCTGGCTGCACATCCGGGCGCGGGGCCAATGGACCACCAAGCTCTACGAGTACTTCCAGCAGCTGGAATCGCACGGCCCGGAGCCGAATCCGCCCGGGAAGAGCTGGAGGAGCCGGCACCGGGAACAGGTGGGACTGTGGGACTGGGATCAGAGGGATGGGTGCAGCTGGATGCGGAGTGGATCCCGTGGGATCATCCCAGCCGGGGAATCCCTCGGGATGAACATTCCCTGCTTGTCCAGCCTTGACGGATTTGTGTCCCATGGAGCGGGAATTGTGTCCCTCCATCGGGGTCACACGGCCTTGGCAGAGGGACACCAATTCCCACCGGTGGGATTTGGGATGGATGGACACGTGGGATGGTGGGATTTGGGACTGGTGGGATTTTGTGCTCCATGGAACGGGATTTGGGATGCATGGATGGATGGACAATGGATGGGATTGATGGGATTTTATGCCCCATCAAATGGGATTTGGGATGGATGGATGGGATGGTGGGATTTGGGATGGATGGGATTTTGTGCTCCATGGAATGGGGTTTGGGATGGATGGATGGGATGGTGGGATTTGGGATGGATGGGATTTTGTGCTCCATGGAATGGGGTTTGGGATGGATGGATGGATGGGATGGTGGGATTTGGGACAGATGGGATTTTGTGCTCCATGGAATGGGGTTTGGGATGGATGGATGGGATGGTTGGATTTGGGATGGGTGGGATTTTGTGCTCCATGGAATGGGGTTTGGGATGGATGGATGGGATGGTGGGATTTGGGACAGATGGGATTTTGTGCTCCATGGAATGGGGTTTGGGATGGATGGATGGGATGGTGGGATTTGGGACTGATGGGATTCTGTGCCCCATGGAATGGGAATTCCTATGACCCTGCTGGAGGCCCAGCAGATCCCAGGACAGGTGATCCCAGCGCCGATTCCCGGCCTTTGTTCCCAGGAAGGATCCGTGGCCTCCGGCAGGGATGGAGCCGTGGAGCTGACGGCGTTCCGAGCCTCCGGAGCCGCTTTCCCGGGAAAGGACCCGGAGCAGGGGGTGAGCTCCGGGGACAGGAACTGGATCCCAAACGGGATAAAGCTCCTTCAAAAGCTCCTCTTTGGAAAGAAATTCCTTGGATATTATTGTGGCATTGACAGCTGGAATTGTGTGCGCAGCCCAGTGGGAAAACACTTCAAATCCAGGGAATTTTGGGAGTGCTCGGGAAGGGGGGATGGTCACTGCTCCCCTCTCCTGCAGGGCGCCGGGCCCGGGGAGACCCAGCGGAGCTGCAGCGTCAAGGTGAGGATGTTCCCGCCTTTCCTGGATCCCGGAAAATGGGCTGGGATCAGCATTCCCACCATCCCATCCCC